ATTCGTTATTAATTAAATTTTACTCACCTTTTTCCTTCTTTTGTTTTCTGCTTTAAACCAAAATTTTTGTTATAATTTCCATTTGGCGCCATTTCGTTTAAATGCACTTTCCAAAAAATTAGTTTACTTTTTTCTTCTCCTATTTCTCTCTTTCCTTTCGGTTTGAACAGTTACAGTGACGTAATTTTACTGACGCGTACGGATTGAATTTGTCCTATAAAAGAAGACTATCCTGCTATCAAGAAAAAAAGAATCATGATTTTAAGAGAACTAAAAACCACGTATAACACTAACGAGTATGCAACCATAAGAAAATCAAATAAAATTTTGCGCAGGCTATCGCTGGATTCAATTTTTGCGACTGACAATGTCAGTTGACTTTCTTTGCTTCCTTTTCATCCTCTTCCTCATTGGAGGTACTAAATGCAATTAGTCAAACTAAGAATTTACGCATGGCATCAAAAAAATAAAATAAATAGATTTATGTATTATACACTGAATATAAATATAAATATAAATATAAATATAAATATAAATATACATATAAATATAAACATAAATATAAATATAAATATAAATATGATATAAATATAAATATAAATATAAATATAAATATAAGTAAAATGTGTCTAACCATAGGAGTAGATATAAGTGCAAAGAGATGAAAAATTTGATATACAGTGTCTAACATTTAATATCTAATATATAATATGTAATATATAATATATAAAGTTGGAAAAAAGAAAACTAAAGAGTTTGCTAGGTTGTTGAAGAGGATTAATATCTTCCCTGGTATTTTCTTCTTTGAAAAATGGTTAATTTTACCCGTATCTTGCTTTAGAAATAGCAAAGCGGAGCTAAAAATTTGAATAGAATGATAGCTTAGCTGTATAATTTTGTCAGTGGTAATAAGAGCATGACATTAAGACAGCACTTATTGATTTGACTAACTATTTGTTTGTGGTTATCCAGTTTTTTGAATAAGTGTGAAAATTGCAACCAGTTTTTTTGATAAAATTTAATTAATTTTTATCACTAGATTTATATAACTTAAATACAAGAGAAGAAAGACACGCTTCTATGCTTCCTTTCCCTCTTTTTTTTTTTTGTAAAAATTCTTTGCTACAGTCCTATAGTATTGCCAAAACTGATTTTGCATTCAGATATTAATAAGATATGTTTTTTAAGGCAAGCACAAAAAAAAAGCGCAGTTTTATCAATTCCGCCAACAACTAAATCAATACCGAAAAAACCTACCAAATTTGTATCGTTTTTCAAAAGGACTGCGTACTTAAATAGAGAAAAAAAAAACCAGGAGAAACGTGAAGGTTTACACTGTTCAAACCATTTACATAATTTCGCCGATTTCTGTTGAACTTGTTGCTATTTTTTTCCCAGAAATCTGTTTTCATTGAAGCGTAACTTTTGATCTGAACTGTGTAACCATAGCGCAACCAGTGATTACAGTAATATTTATCGGCAACTGAATCAACTGACAACATCTTTAATACTCCAGTTTTTTTTTCTTTTCCCGTCAAAAAACCCAACACTTAAAAAAATTCTTTTGCCTTTTTTTTCCACCAAAACCATTTCATAAGTATTAATAGCTAAGGTTTAATATTTCCTTTATGTTTCAAATTTCTAGACATTTCACTATTGATAGAACTATTTTTAGCTTTCATTGCCATAAAAGAACAAATATCTACTGAAAAAATACCAAATTACATATTGTTTCATTATACTTAACTTCACTGCACCCTCACATTTACCCACAAATCGTTAATTTCTTAAAGTGTTAATTTAGCTATTTGTTCTTTGACAATTTTGTTAATTCACATGCAGACGCATAAAAAAAGTAGTGAAAAAAGAAGAGACAAAACCCAAGTAGTTTTTTCTTTGTGGTAATTTATACATTTGTTGAATATAGCGTTTCGTTAATGGATAACGCAACTATGCATTACAGGTAACGCTAAGGTCAAATTACAGGCATTTAAGATCCTTTCAGTACCATCCGGTTCATTTTAAAGGTAATTCAAGACTACAATTTCGCTCTAAAACTAATTCTAAACCAAAAAAAAAAAAAACTGTCTTAAAAGAATTGCGTTTCAAGATGAGATAAAGAAAAAAACCATTTTAGTCATAAAAACAGTATGTATATTACGAGAATTCCAACAAATTTGCACTTCTGCTTTTTGCTTTCACTTCAGCTAAATCAATCTTTTGTCAACTGTCCCTCGCATCACTTTTTTCTACCGTAAGCTGACACCGTTCGTCTACAGCAAGTTTCATGTGTTAAAAAAACAATCAGCCTGAATTTAGACGCTGCAAACGCTTTCAGATTTAACCAGATCCAAAGTAAACACCAAGAATTCCAGATAAAACTACCATTGAAACATAACTAGTCCAAACCCACCTCCGCCCAGAAAAAAAAAAAGTGGAAGTCATCGCTTGCAAAAAAAGCACCTAAAAACTTCTGATAATTTAGTTTTGAGCTAAACCTTCCAAGTTGTCCGGTTATTCCCTTTGTTTTCTGTATCAAGCTCTACCTGAAGTAATAAAGATAAGAACAAGTAAAATAAGGTAAAAAAAGTTACATAACAGAACCAAATATTAAGCACGAAATAAAACACCGTATTCATAATTACTTATCAGTTGCAGTAAAAAAGATGGCGTAATACAAAACAGTTACCAAAAGTCATTTGCATTATGATAAGAGAGTTAAAAATTCTTTTAGTTTTTACCCGTCTGTCTTACTCGTTTGCAACCGAAGATTATAAGGTAATTTTTCCAGACAACCACTGTTACATACATCCACTAAATAAGGAATCACCAAAGCTGTAAAACACATCGAAATATATAAATGATTAGTTATTGGGACATTTGAATCTTCGACAATCGGTAAACTTTGAAGTCTTTAACAATAAATCTTTTTTTTTCCCAAATACTACGGTAAATATCAAAACTATTTACATATAAAATATTATCATATTACAACTTTAAGCGGAATATTTTATTTCAACTTTTTCCTTTTTTCCTCCTTGTTTTCCACTCTTTCAGCACATTTATAGGTGTCGTTATAGCCTTTTTCCCTGGAATTCATTCAATGATATAGATTGCAGTTACCTTCTATCCCGTCTTCATCCTTGAAAAAAGTCATCCTGAAATAACACTGATTCAATTTGATTTTCACTGTAGACTCTAGAGCGTTGCAAAGTTGTGCAAAAAAATCAAAAACCTGCGAAAAAAAAATAAAATATGCTGGTATCGGTAGAAATCTTTTCAATGATATCTGAGTTCAAAAAAAAAAAAAAAAA